ATCATTTTTTTTCTGAATTAAACTTTATGATGCTAAGATATGAAGTTAAGAGCTACTTAGATTTTGCAACAAAATGCATTGTTTAAGGGATGAAGATATTGTGGGGGTGGGGGGAAGTATAGCTGTATTATGCTACCTATTGTAAATGATGCTGCTAGTTTATTTAGATTTTTAACCTCTAGCAATAACAGATTATTTTGATAAATTATTCATATTTCTGCATTGTGCACCTTAGGCAATTTGCATATCTGGCAGCAAATAGGCCCTACTTTCAAGCTTCAGTCCCCTTGGTCAGACAGGATGGCCCAAGGCTGCTTCATGATTAATTTCATCTCAATAGGGTAATTATCATACTGAAATGAAGCAATGCCCCTGAGATATGCTTTCCTGGAGCTACAAGTACAAGAGGCTTAGCTTAAGAGCTTTAAAGAATATAGTAACTTTTAGCTTAAATTTTAAACCTTTCTCTATTTGGGGAATATCTACATCTAAAAATAATATTGGGTTCTGTAAAACTAGAAAACAATAATTTAGAGCTTGGTTTAGCAGTTCATTGGGTTGCAGGGTTGTATACATTTTGAGAGATCAAGGAGATTTTATATTGCTGGCTCAAAGTCTAGCTGCTGAACCCATAAATATTAATTTCTCTTCTAGTTTGTGAAAAGTCATTCAACTTTCCTATATTTAGATTTCTGATCTGAGAATAGTCTAAATGCCTTGTACTATTGCAGAATTAGCCAGAGATGGTTTTTTAAAAATGTTTCTGTTTTCCTATTGGAAATATGATTTTTAAAAATTAGATTAGTTCATATTACATCCTTAAATAGAATTATATTTCCTAATCCATAAAAATTAGTTGGAAATTAATTTGAAATAGTGAAATTCTTCAAAATTTCTAAATGCACTTAGGGTCACAGGGTATTCTAGTGAAAAATCAAGTTCTGAAATTTAATATTGTATCTCTTTGTGCATAATACATGATCAGTGATCAAAGAGAAAAGGAGAGTTCCAATTCATTTTGCATTATCTTAAAAATGAAACAGTTTCCTAAATTTAATGTCTCATTTCAAACTGGTCAATTGGGTTTTTATCACTTTTATAGTTAGATGTTTATGCAATAAATTTCTTACATGTTTATTCAAGAGAATTTCCCTGGAATTTAGCTAGATGTTGGTGATTTAAAGTTGGGTAAATAACAGTCAATGATCTCACAGAGTTTATAGATTAGCTGACATTATAGTAGCATCAGTAAATTATTAAAATATGATTGCACAATGAAGTAGAAACCAGTACTGAGAGTCTAGTGGGCTGGGTATTGTGAAATGACAGGGTTTCTTTAGAAGTCATCACCTACATTACCACCTGCTAATATTCATTCACTTACCTCTGCCAGATTTGTCTCTATAATGGACAGACTCCTTCATCTTGGGGGCATTTTTTAATTTATTTTGCTCTTATTTGCTGAAGGGAAGAGACTTCTGTTATTCAGAGGTTGTTCATTGTTACTTTTGAAAGAGAAAATAATCTCTCTCAACTTACTAAATATTAAAAATAAATATTTATTTTGGAGGGAGTGGGGGATTACTTAGAAAATATTTAAAAAGTAAGTATGATTGTCTATTATATTATTATTATTCATATGCTGTCCATTAGCTAAAGACCAACACTGCACTCACTGTGTAGCAGTACATTTACTGTTGAAGTTATGTGAAATTTGCACTTGAAAACTCAGTCAGTTTAGACTTCACATGAAAAGTATGAGTCTCATAGACGAAAAGCTCAAGATATTAAATGAATATTTAAAGCTGTATATATGCAAAAATCAATTCCTGAACAAAATATTTGCAGACTCAATTTTGTAAATGAGACTGTTCAATGTCTATGAAATCAGAAGAACCAGTTGGTTTATCTGATTCATGACAATTCCTTTATATAAATACAACATGTTTCAGGAACCTAGGAATACTAACTTCTCTGGCAATTTCCTGCTTAAACATTCCTAAGTGATTTGTGCTGACATTTTTAATCTAGATCCATCCTGTTTCAAATTTCTCAGTCCAAAGTATTATTTATCAATTTCAGAATTATTATAATTTTTGTTGAGTTTATTTATAATCTGTGTTTTTTATTTAAATCACTGTATTTCAGCCTGGCCGGTGTGAATCAGTGGATTTAACATCATCCCATGGACAGAGAGGTCTGGGTTTGACTCCCAGTGGGGCACATGCCTTGGTTGAGGGCTCCATCCCCAGTTGGGGGCGTGCAGGAGGTGGCTGATTGATGTTTCTCTCTCACATCCATGTTGCTATTTCTCACTCCCTTACTCTCTCTCTAAAAACTCTCTCTCTCTCTCTCTCTCTCTCTCTATATATATATATATAATCACTGTATTTTATTTCAAAATACAACTATAAAAATTGTCAAATAGATCCTTAGAAAAAGATAAATAATTTGATATAATAAAGTTTTCATTTGGGATGCATATAGTGTAGGCAGTAAGTAATACAGAGGAAATAAGACTAGCCATAACTTGATATACACTGAATGGATGTTGAGAGCATGGAGGTCATTATATTTTTTTCTTTATTAATATATATATGTGTGTGAAATGTTTCCTAATAAAAATTTAGTTTCTTTTGCAGTTGACAATAATAAAAAGTATGCAGAAAAGAATACAATGAAAAATTTGTCTTTATGGGTTATTTTTTCATTACTTTTTCAAAATTTTATATTTTAATTACAGTTTACATTCAATATTATTTTATATTTACTTTAGGTGTGCAATATAGTAGTTAGACAATCATATATATATATTTTATGAAGTATTCCCCTGATATTTTAAGGATCTACCCGGCACCATACATAGTTATTACAATATTGCTATGCTGTACTTTACATCCCGGGGACTAATTTGTGACGACCAATTTGTAGTCCTTAATCCCTTCACCTTTACCACCTTGTCTGTATGACTTTGAAGTGTTTTCACTCCTATGCAGTTGTATATTCACTCTTAATGTTGTACATTTCTGGTCTCAAGGTTGACTCCCTCTTTAAAGTCATGTAGTTTTTAAAACTGAAATGCTATGCACAGACAGATATTATATCTTATCCCCTCTGTATGTATCTTCAATAAATTTGAAGTCGATATTTTTGTCGGATGGATGCAAGTTGGCAGACTAGTCAAAAAGCATTTGATTTTAAATTGTTAATTTCTACTGAGATGTCATTCACATCATAGGTTGTGAATTAATATAAATTGACTTAAAAGCTTGAGATCAGAGAAAGAGTAAATGAAAATTTGAGGGACAAACAACATCTTACTGCTATGATCCTAGATTTATCTTCATTACAATCATCCCTCTAAGTGTGGGCATTGTCTGTAGAAATAACACCTTTTACCTGGTACAGTATCTTTAATGCACCAGTGTGCATTAGTGGTGGATTAGTGGTTTCTTTGTGTTTTGGGGTTTTGTTTTCTATTTTTTGTTTTTGTTTTAGAGGGCATGGAGTTAAGGCATGACAGAAAGAAGAGTCCACAGGGTATGAGCCCTTAAAACATGCCCACTCAATGTGCACACAGCCATAAGGATATAGGATAAGGCTCGTGGGGTTGTGACTACTGAGAGAGGACCAATTTGTCATCTGTCAGGATACTCGAATAGGAAATGCTGAACAGTCAGGGGTATGATCTAAATCCTGATCACTGAGTAAGAAAGCAACTGACAGAGAAACCAAATGATTGATGGAAGAAGTAAGAAGGCATTAAGAAAAGCTCTCCATAATTCACAACTGTGTGCATGGTGTGGTTCAACAGAATCTTAGGCGTGGAGGGATCAGTGGGATATGTAATCTAATAGGACATAAAGAAAAGAAAGAAAGTAGAGGAAAATCAAGTGTAAGAATCATGACACTTGACTGATTTAAATTATAAAATCTTTTTTTTTTTTTAAATAAGTAACTACTCTGCATTTCTCTGATATGTTGAAATCTTAAGGAGTAAAACATCTGAGTAGATTAGGACACTTTTGGTAATATTATGGATTTTTTCTTTTATCCTTTCATCCCCTTTGTTGTTCACCAATTATTTATTGGTGCCTACTACATGCTAATCATGTACCTGTATCAACTACATTTATACTTTGCTATTATATACACATAATAGGTCCTAAATAAATATGTGATGAATGAATGAGTTAAGGTCAATATCTAAGATGAATGACCAAATCTTCCTTCCCATATTAAGTGATAATTCAATTATTGAAAACTTAACAAAGACAAACAGGAAGCACTACTTAGTGAAATGCAAAATTAACTTTTGCTTTTTGAAATCTTTATTTCCTCTTTTATCTTTCATCCTAATTAAATAACATTTAAATATTTATCAACTGTTTGTGTATTATTTATTTAAGGAGGACATTCTGAACTAAAGAAGGGTGGGGGAGACAAGACAAGAAGAAAGAAATATTTTAAATGAAACTTGTTCATTCTCTCACAATACAGTCTGTTGCCCCTGACCGCATAACCACACAGCAGTAGAGGGAATGGCATCTCATGTCAAAGACGAGCTGGAAATTGGTTGCACTGGGAATTAGTCTCACAGTAGTCACTCAGGAACCTTCAAAGAGCCACATTATGTCTAAATGTTTCATGCATTTCAAAGGGCTGATAATACAGACATGATATACAAAGAATTCTAAGATTTTCAAATTTAGTTGCTAAACAAATGCAAAGAGTTCCATGGTCAGTTAACAGAGAGACAAAACAGTTTCGAGAAACTTTATTTTATGCTTTTCTTTGGTTCGGTCGTTTTATTTTTTGCCCCAGTAAGCTTAATTATCAGCCATTCCCCTAATAATTGTGTTTAATTCTTAACAATTCTGAGTGGTAAGGGCGATGCTTTCTATCTTTGGTTTTGTTTTTGTAATTTTTCCCTAAAAAAATTTTGTTTTGTATATCTAACAGTACTTCATGTTAATGTACTTATCTTTTCTTTTTATTAGAGTCGGGGAAAGCCCCTGAAACCAAACAAGGCACTATAAAAGTTTCAGCACAAGGTAAGCAATAAAACTCTTTAAAAATTCTATTTTTTTTCACTTACATAGCACTTTATTGACAAAAGCAAAAGCTGTTTATTGCAGAATAGCACCATCTGCTGGGGTATTATAGAAAACATTGCATTGTTGGATGAAGATACACATTTCGAGTATTCATTTAGTAACTGGAGAAAGCATGACTAAGACGAATGCCAAATTTGCAGAGAAACCACTGAAGAACCCAAGAATTAGAATTTTGACTCCTGATTTCAGTCATTGAGCTTTTACTTACATTTTCAAATTAAACCATAGATTAATTGATAGACAGGTAGATAGATAATATATAGAGACACACAAATAATATTCAAATTTTCTAATGTTTTCAGTTATACCTTCTAATTTATGTCATATCAGAAAAATCTGTCAGGATTTTTAAAAATTAGTATTACTTCTTCTATATACCAAGACTACAAAATCAGGTTCCAGATATGATTAGAAAGTAATCACCCTAGTTTTGATGAACCATCTGAGAACATCTATTTTTTCATCCATTCATATCTTTGGGGTAAAAGAGTGATGTTTAAAAATTTTTTTTTCTTTATTGATTTTAGAGAGAGAAGAAGGGAGAGGGAGAGAAAGACAGAAACATCGATGAGAGAGAACATGGATTGGCCACCTCCTGCATGCCCCGCACTGGGGTTTTGGCCCACAACCTGGGCATGTGCCCTGACTGGGAATTGAACCGGCAACCTCTTAGTGCATGGGTCAACACTCGACCACTGAGCCACACCAGCTGGCCAAGAGTGGTATTTTTAAAGAGAACTTCAGGAAAAATTTGATTTTTTTCTGTCACCAGTTTGTGAAAAGTACATCTATAAAATAACTTTTCTATAAAAATATTTTTTTAGCTATCACCTGCAATCACATGTTTTGAGAAAGCTATTTTAACTCCAATGTCCCCAACTCACAAGAATGGAGTGCAAAGAGTTATGTGACCTTTATTCTCAAACCATTAGCAGTTATATGATGAAAATACAAGGAAAGAGTACACTTGTTCTGCCTTTGTCATCTATGAGAACTTAACAGAACACTGGGAAAGAAAAGTGAAATATTTATTAGAGAAAAATCTTTATTTTTTCTCCTATGCTACATTATCCAATATTGAACAATTAAGGAGATACATTTATGTCATGGCACATTTGTTTCTGGGCAGGAGATCCTGGTAGCAGACTTCTTAGTATATGACATGATTGTATCTGACCAAACCTTCTTCTGTTATATTTCATCCTAGACCCAACTATATGCAAAATCATGTTAGTAGGCATTGGCAAAATGATTTGGCTAATTGCCACTGGACCCAACAATGTTGTTTATAAGCAATATATGATAGAATGGTAAGAGCTGTGATGTAAGTTTTTAGTTTTCTTTTGATCATCATGGTGTTCAAGAAAACTGATTCTTCTTCAGAAGACTTCTGATAGAGAACATAACTGTTATGGGAGGTAGAAAGGCAGGGCAAATACTATTATCACTTTTGTGTTTTATATTCATGAAAATGCTGCTTTGAGTGATTTCCTCAAGCAAATGACTACTAGTTCAAGTAATCATTACAGTTAGGGTATACACATTCTTATATAAAAACACCATCACCTGTTCCGACTGAGGCTTCTGAGGGTCATGGTGGAAATGAAACTATGAAATGAGGCAGGAATATACTGTTGCTTCAGCCTCATAATAGAGGAAAGGGGAGAACATCAAAGCAATAATCTCAGAACTGATTTTAAATTTGAGTTTGGGCAATAGGCTCTTCACTTTTATATTTCAACTACATTGGACAATGCAACCTCAATTTATTTTTTCAGATTAAAGGATTTATTATTGAAAGAATAGTAACTTAGAGTTTCAAAAGCTTGTTAGAACTATCTTTTTAAGGAAATTAGATGAAAGTGTTGATTAAGCTCAGTGTACAGGCAAGAGTTAGGGCTAACCGCATACTTATTAATTTGACTTTTTATCTACATAACAATATATTTTGTGTTGTTTTTTTTTTTGCTTTATGTTTTTATCTCAATTTAGAAAACCTTATGAAATAATATTTTCAGATTATTCTCTTATTTCAGAGTTGAATAGGTTTATTTGTACATAGATATCCACTGAATTTATGAATACATGGAACACATTCTCTTATTCCCAGGAGTATTCTGAACAATGGTCATTTAATATGTTTTAACACTATTTTCTTTCCCTTATTTCAGCAGCAGCTAAAAAAGATGAAAAGAAAGAAGGTATGTTTTATAAAAATTCCACTATGCCCTTTGTGTGAACAGTTTATCAATATTCAGAGTTGGTTTTGGACTGCCATCTTGTCTGTGTTTCCTTTGGATAACTGGATCTATTATGTGTGTACATTTTGCAAAAATGTGACTTTTCTGCCTTACCTCACATAAAAGGGTAAGCTACTTTTTAAAGTAACTTTAATCTAGTCTTTCTCAAGATACAGGGAGCATAACATAACCTCTCAAAATGTCAGAGCTCCTATTTTATTAGCAGTTTTAGCAAATTTCAAAACTATGCAAGGTACAGACCCATTCTCCTACATCAACTACTTATGTCTCTGAAACTAACAAACAACTGATGTTACTTTGTTCTGTTAAATTACACAAAAGTAATAGTCCATCTGCTGCACACCCCTTCCCTTTGTCGAGATGTCCTCATTCTGAGAGAAAATCCCAGCTGTCAAAGACAGTTGATGGAATTAAATAAGCAAGGAAGATTTTACTCAAGACTATTGTAATAGGGGTCAAGTGTATTGCCATAGGAGAAATGGAATTTTCAGTTCAAATGAAACCAAAATGAGAGTGTTTAAGCTCTGGAATGAGCAAGTATAAAGGTACAGGAGGATGTTGGCTAGGTTGAGGGTGGTGGCCAATGTGTCATTAGGCACCTGTGTCTGCTAATTGTTGCTCATTGAAGTTAAGTCTTTTACCCTCCCACAGAGACTGGGATAGCAGGGGCACTATCTCCTTTGATGATTACATTTCAAAAGGATGTCTCACAGGTCTTGAGGAAGATATTTCTGGTTGTAGAAGACTGATATTTCAAAGGGACTGAGAAATAATTTATAATGCAAGCTTTTTAAAGTAAATGATCTAATAAAAGGGAGGTCAGAGACCTACAGTCAAGAACCCTATTTAAGTTTAGTTTAGTCAAGCTCATGGGAATGTTAAGGCCATCTCAGCCACGGTGATTCTGCTTAGAGAGATGTTTCTAATGCACTCTGACAACACTTAGACAAGATGTCTAGTGTTCCCCACTGTTTATTAATCTAGGTTATTTTCTCAGTAAAAATAACTTGTAGATAGAAGCAATCACTTCTAACTTTGAAAATGACAATTATGTTCTAATTAGTGTTTATAAAATCAGAAAAATAGGAAAGCAGTGTTATATTTTATATTTAGTGTCATTGGTGTTCTACATACTTGTAATGCTGCTGCTAAACAGGGATCTATGAGTCACTAGGCATGAGAGAGATAAAATATCTTAGTTGGTCATTATTTGTTTAGAAAGAACAAAACCATAGTATCATAATAAGCTTAACTAAGTCACATTAATGTGTTTAATCTCAAGAGATTAAAATCAGTATTAATTCCCCCATAAACACATGGCAAATATTTCATTGTATTTTAGAAATTATATAATTTGTATGATGAAATTTGTGGTGAGTATTCACAGACATTATAAGAAAAAATATGTTCTCAAAAAATTCATCTTGCCCTGGCCGGTTTGGCTCAGTGGTTGGAGCGTCCGCCTGCGGTACAGAGAGACCCGGGTTCGGTTCCCGCTAAGGGCACGTACCTTGGTTGCAGTTTGTCCCCAGCCCTGGTTGGTCATGCGGGTGGCAGCCACTCAATGTGTACCTTCACATCGATGTTTCTCTCTCTCTCTCTTCCTCTCTCTCCCTCCCACTCTATCTGAACAAAAAATAGAAAAATGTCCTCAGGTGAGGATGAAAAAAAAAAAATTCATCTTTCCTCCACCAATTCTTTTTAGGAATAAAGAACACTTTAGCATCTGATTTAGCTAAAGCAGTAATATGAACAATTATTTGTTTTGTTTGTTGTATTCAAAAAAAGTATTAAAAGATATTGGGGTATATAAAACCATAGTCAAAGTATAATTGCATAGCTTTAATCAAGATATATATAATTTCTTATTGCTATGCTTATCATTTTTTTGTTATATTTTTCCTGGATTATATGCCTCATTATTTTCTTTTTAAGAAATTATTTATGTTTAATGTACAATATTTGGAAGATCTTGGGAAGATTTGGCTATGCAGTGATCAAGTGATGATACAGCTTTAAAACATATACAACACACACCTCTGACTATTAATATTATGTTTACATTGCTATTACTATTATTATTAAATTATTAGTTTTAAAATGTTTCATATATTATCTCTTGTTTGGAAAAGTTTTATCATCACTAAAATGATTATATTTAAGAAAAAATAGCTATCTACAGTAGTGTTTATTGTTCCCAGCATATAATAGGAGAATAGGCTTAATGCTCAGCTACTCTAGACAGCCATCTGATTTTATGTTTCCCAAGTTCCTATTTTTATTTCTGTATCTCCTATTAGGCAGAGCAGAGATGTATATAGAAATAAGCTTCTCAGCTCTTGCTTTTTACTTTCTATCATTTCAATAAAGATCACAGATATATTTTCCACAGGGACAAGGAACAGATGTTTGTTCAAATGATGCAAATTTATAACAAATCACCAGACACAATTAGGATTTTCAACATTTATTTTACACAAAGTTTATTTCTACTCACATTCAAACTTATTGGATCTAGTTTAAAGATACTAATTACTGACAACTTTCCCGAAGAAAGAGAAAGTGAGAAGAGTTTTAGGAATTTAATTAGACTGGGCTTGAGAAGTTCTTTTGTGGGCGAATTTTAAAATACGGAAACTTAAGTGCATAACAACTTCCTTGTTAGCAAAGACTATCTGTACGTCAGGCCATAAAGGATTTCTTGCATTAGTGAGCTCTGAAAATTTGATTTTCTTGTGGAGATCTTATCCCAAGCCTGCCTCATCAAGTCTTTTTCAGAAGCCTTAACCAGCGACACCCTTGGCTCCATGAACTTTGCCCATCAATTTTACCATTCTTGGGAGTTTGGTCCTCAGAGCAACCATATCTTAGCCTGAGTGGAATGATGACCGAATAATTGTTCCGCTGAGGTCCTGCTTTGACAAGCCTTTTACTACTGAAGTTTTCCCTCTTTCTCCCCATTCAGACACTTTCCTCATGATCGACTGACAAACATTCTCTCTTATTTCCCATTAGATTCTCAACATTTGAGTCCCAATAAAATTGTACTTTTCTCTCTAAAATGTGCTTATTCTCTATCACTTTTTTCTATATTGGCCCCACTATCCTTGTAGATACCAAGACTCAAATTCTGGTGTAAGCTTTAACCTCTGTCTTAACTTTGCCCCTGACAATTCGTCCTCCAGCACTTTTAAATTGCCTGAACTCTCTTTTGTTTAATCCTTCCTAAAATAATTAGAAAAGTGAATCAGTATTCACAGTCCCCAGTCCTCTAATTGTGACCTCATGTGAACCGAGGAAATGATCTCTGAAATCAGAAGTTCTCAATTTGTGGTCAAGGACTTCTGGGTATCACTGAGACTCCTTCAGTAGTGCTGCAAAGTTAAAATTATTTTTATAAAATTACGAAGTCATTATTTCCCTTTTTGACTTTCATCCTTCCATGAGTGTGCACTGGAGTTTTCCAGAGACTATGTAATGTGTGATATTGCAACAGATTGAATATAAGAGCAGAAATGTTAATCAAATTGACTTCTTATTAAGCCACATATTAATGAGATTCATAGAACTGTGAAATAGTCACTCATCTGATCATATGTTTGTATTTGAAAATGTATTTATCCTAAAAATATTATTTATATTAACATAACAGGTGTATTACTTTTTGAATGAATAAATGTCTATATTTTAAATTTTTGTCAGCTTTAAGTTTTAAAATTATAAATATAATTGGATAGAATCTACATAAACAAAAGTTGTTTGGGGTCCTAAAATTGTTAAAAATTTAAAAGAGTCCTGAGATGAAAAAGTTTGGAATCTCTGACTTAAATAATGATCTTATCTATAATATTTTCTCTAAATATTTTCTTTCAAAATATTGAATTGACTTTATGAAATTTGTTATGTCATTATCTATTTAAAATATTCAGTGACTCCAACTGACTGCAGAAGATAGTCTAAAGGCTTTAACCTATGACCCAACTCTCTACAGTCTGTTTCTTGACTCGCGGTCATGTACACACCTACGCAAAGTCAAAGCCAAGGCCCAAACAGTTCTACCTGTGATGGTACAATGAGCCCTTCTGAGACTGAGAAAATCATGATCAGCCAAAGCAAGAGTAGCCAAATGTGCCAGATCTTCATGGTCCTTGTTCCACACACCAAAAAGGATGACACTTAAAGAAAAGAGGCTAGATAATGCAGCACAAATTAAAGACACTTCATTGCTGAGGAGGCAACTCTAGATTACAGCCAAATGGTTTTATGGTCTGCAGTTCTATTACACAGGGTTCTAGGAAGGAGAACCCAGGAGGTAATGAGAAGAAAACTCTCATGACAGCCTCCCAGGAGAGATAGGGAGGCATGTGGGAGATGGCCTCACAGCACCTTCTCACAGGCTCCCCCACACCCCCATCATCTTATGTTCGAGAAGGATCACAGAGCATCCTCTCAAGGCTCAAATTAGCTATGATTCAACTTTTGCCTGCTTGGCCTATATGGACGTGTGCAAGACCACCACAGCACATGGTAAAACCTTCACCCTATACTTTCACTCAGTTTCTTCCTGCATATAACATATACTTCATCTATCCTAAGCCACTCAATTTTATATCTACAATGTGCTATCTTGCCTTTGTTTCTGCAATTCACATAACAGAGTTCACCCTTTTCTTTTCTTCTATAAATATGCAATGTTCTCAGGGTTCAGAAAAGATTCTCTCTCCTCTAAGACATGTGTCTGACCCTCCCAATTACATTTCCTTTTGTTTTCATTTATAATCTCCCATCAGAGTTTATCTATAACTCCCTACCATTGCTCATGTCTTGCGACCTGTACATCATATTACTTGTATTCATTTTACTACTACTTTGATTAACTTTAAGGCTTTTGACTAAAGGGAACATGTATAATTCATATTTATCCCCTACAGGGACTAACGAATTTCCCCAATTCACACATCACTCAACACATATTTATTCTGTGAATAAATCAGTAATGTAGGACTAGAGATAAACAGCCACAAGGATTATGAGTAGGCACTTAATTTTTCACATCCCAGTAAAGAACACTCTTATATCTTTGGGAGTTATAATCCAGTGAGCTTTTTAGGGCTGGGAAATTATGGTCAATTATTTGCAATTTCATCTCAGATGTATTTCATCACTAGCTGCTATTTGGGTTGCATTAGCAGATCTAGGTAGATCTCATTCCCTTAACCTTGGCTTCTTGATGAATTCCTACACAGGTTATCTTCTCAAAGATACAGCTCCATTGAGAACTAGCCAGATTATTTTTATTGTTTCCCATAAACTAGAACAAGAACAAGTAGAGTAAAATACACGAGAGAATTAGGCCTAAATTCTAGGGCTTCAGAACTGAGATCTGAAGAAGAATTATACTGGAAAACAAAATATCTGGTTTTGTAATTGAATACTTTTGTCAGTTGGGTAAGTTTCACAAAGTAGATGGGGTACTTCATTACCAACATTATTAGACTACCAGAGAGTTAATTTTTCCCTTCAATGTCAATCGGTATTTCATTTTCCTCTGACATTACTTATGAACATAATAGACCATACCTGGTACATTACTAAAGATGAGTGAGCGATGAATTGAACAGATTGCAAATACATCACTGTTTTTAAGTAGCAGCTGCTGCAGGCCTCAATGTTCTTAATAAAAATCTTGTTCAGAGTATTGGGCAGATGGTTTTCAGGGAAGTATAGTCAGTAAGTAAGCCTTTATGATATTTTTAAGCCGTTATGGCAGTGTTAAGAGGGCACAATGAAGTTTAATCGCATGAGTATTAACGGCTGGTACTTATAGCTCTTCAGAGCCAGAATGTGATCTTTCCTTGCAAACATTATATTTTTTTTGGTTGCTCAAATAGTTTACTTGTATAAGTTTGTTGCTCTGTTGGCTCTCAACCAAAAGACATGGTTCATGATGACATTTTAAGAAAATTTAACTGTAGCTTCCAGTTCTTACAGCAAATATATTGAACTTTTTAAAGGTCTAGTTGGTTAGATCATGGCTTGTTATGTTTTACATTCCAACTTCATGAAATATATTTTTAATCTCAATAAGTGCTATACTTTATTTATTTTCATCTTAGTACAATTGATATCTATTATCAATTAATAATATATTATCAATTCTTATTATTAGAAAGAAGAAAAACAGATTAGAAACAACATTTTACAGATATGCATATTGTATTTAGCTTTCCACGCCTACCTCATGCTAGCATCTAGTTGGAGAATTGGTGGTGGTGGTGGGGGGGGGTTGGAAATAATCTTGCCCTAATCTGCCACATTTATCCTTTGTCTGTTTCTACATTCTTCCCAATTTTTATTTCAATTGCATTCCTGAATAACTATGGTCCTACCATAATCTGTTTGTGTTTTCTATATTGGTGACATTCTAGAATCAAAAGATCCCTCACTAAGGATCACAGGACCTCTTGGGCAGGCAGAAATCCTGCTCCACTATAATGGAGGCAAACGTGAAAAGTTACGATGACCATTGAACTATCTACTTTATGCTTTCAACTGCTGTACGATAAGACTCCATGTCTTTAAACAGATGTAGGCACTGTATATTAATAATATAGTATTAAGTATATGACTAAGATGACATTTATCATGTTCTCGTATAAAATCATTTAATATTTTTCTATATATTTGAATTACTTGTTTAGGATAATTACTTGTGAAGGAAATGCATGAGAAAGTGTTCGCACCACACATATGTTTTAGATGGCAAATTTGGCCTAATCCATTTTACTTTCTGATGAGAAACTGAAGAGCAAGAGAAAGATTGATTTCTTTGTGGGAGAGAGTGAATATTAATAAAGTCTAGCCTAAAATTATTTTACTAGGCCATGCTGGACCCAATTGTGTTTTTAAAAAATGTCTACTGAGCCCTGGCCAGTTTGGCTCAGCGGTTAGAGCGTCGGCCTGCGGTCCGGAGAGACCTGGGTTCGGTTCCCGCCAAGGGCACGTACCTCGGTTGCAGTTTGTCCCCGGCCCTGGTTGGTCGTGCGGGTGGCAGCCACTCGATGTGTTCCTTCACGTCGATGTTTCTTTCTCTCTCTCCCTCCCACTCTATCTGTACAAAAAAATGGAAAAATATCCTCAGGTGAGGATAAAAAAAAAAATTTTTTTTTAAATGTCTACCGAATAAATAAATGTTTTGTTCCAAGGACCTACCATTTTGAAAAATGAGCCTTGTTTATTTTTTTCCTTGTACATGAAACATACCCTTATTATAGAAAAATTAAAAATTCAGAAATAAAAGGTTGAAGAAACATTGTTTTAATGACACTGTGTTCTTTATAGTCTTCCTATGGTTTATATGGTACTGTTTAATATTCCAACTATTTAGAGGTGTAAAACAATGTCATGGGAAAAAAAAAAGCATATTCCTAAATATATTTTAATATTAATTTATTTTTATTTTTTGGAAATAAATATATATATATATATATATATATATATTTGGAATATATATATATTTAGAATTGCTACCTCGAAAGAATGCTATTTTATGACTTTCTAGATTCTTTCCCAAGTTGCTTTCCTAAAATGTATGGTCAGCATACACTCCTATGAAAGTAGGTTGTTACACTGTTACTGTCATTTGTTATCATTTTTTCATTTAACAACTAAGAGTCTTTTGTGAACAGACTCCTACTCATTGTTATCTTCGAACATTTTGGGTCCATTACTTCTTTGTGGAAATAAAATCATCCTCCCTACCCATCTCACTGTAAGGCACACAAATCCACTAATTTGCAAACTGTTGGTGAATGTCTACTGATCTAGGTTCTAAGCCATGTGATGGTCAGCCAGAACAAAGTTCATCTACCTTTTGCTAGTAGCAATTTGAACATTATTGTTATGATCTAATTTCACTAATATTCAGAGAATTTCAAAATTCAATTATAGAAGAGGTCAAAAAAAGGACATAGAATATGAGAAATAAAATATTCTAAGCAAAAATCTGAGTTAAGGTGCCTCTATTCTAAAATAAATGAGGTCAAAAATCTCTTTATTTTAAAGTGGTAGGAACAGATAGATTCGTGGCCTACATTCTGGAAATAACAAATTTCTCAGATCTAAACTGCATATGCAAAAGACTAAAAATAAAATGGAAGGCTGCTGACCACCGAATACACATTACTGCATAGCAGCTACTAAGTATAATGATGTGTTCATTAGTAACCCATGAGCCAACATCTACTGGTTTCTTTTCCATTACAATAGGAATAATTGAATGTTTGTATTTAAAATGTATTGATTATTCAAAGAGACTGTGATGTATTTCTCCTGGACTGCTTGAGAATGAACAAATGAAAAAACTGCAAACTAAATTCACAGACTTCAACTCGTCCTTATGGAAACAGATCATGTGTTTGCTCAGTCTGACCTCCTATGAAAAGATTATTAGCTTCAATAGGTTCATTGTAATCTCTATGCAAATATTATGTGAATCCATTTTGTTGAAAATGATTTCAAGGTGAATGAACATTTTGTTGTGAGCTAATTAGTTGTTGATTTAACTTATCTACTTTATCAGTAATTTATCTTTTTGTTTTCAGATTCCAAGAAAACAAAAACACCTGCAGAAGGTATTGGAAATATTTCCTGATTTTGTTTTATATTTGATGAACTTCAACTAGCCTTACTTTCTAAAGGATTAATATGGGGGAAACAAAAAAATGATGTGGGATAAAGGAGAGAGAAAAAAATATTGAGATTGAGAGAAAGAAAAACAAAAACAAGAAAAAGAGTTGAGTCTTTCCTGACAATACTGCTATGAGAAATATTTGGCAGTTATAAAAAAGAATTACTGTATATGTTTACCTTTCACAGTAATTGTTTTAAAACAAAAGTTGCTTGCCAAAAAAAATAAACAATGTTTAGCACCAAGCATTTATTTTACTAGGAAACATAAATTCAATTAAACTTGGATATACCAGCATCAATTAGAAAACTAAATTATTTCTTTGTGTTGAATAGAATCATAACTCATATGGCAAGTACACTGATTTCTTCTGTATTTATTCATATGTATTTGTGTTCACATGTATTTATGAAGACTGCAAGGTATAAATTATTTAAAGTGGTTAAGCAGTGTAATCCTAGGTAAATTCATTGTCAAATACTATTTTACAACCAAACTAAAGAAACCCCTATGAGCCCTGGCCAGTTTGGCTCAGGGGTTAGAGCATCGGTCTGCAGACCAGAGAGTTCTGGGTTCAGTTCCCGCTAAGGGCATGTGCCTCGGTTGCAGTTTGTCCCCGTCCTGGGTTGGGGTTGTGGGCTGACAACCATTCGATGTGTCTCTCTCACGTCGATGTTTCTCTCTCTCTATTCGTCCCTTCCTCTTTCCTGCCCTATCTGAAGATAAATGCAAAAATCTCCTGGGGTGAGAATAAAAAAAAAAAAAAAAAAAAAAAAAAAGGAAGGAAGAAACACCTGTGATAATCAGCAATACCCCAGAGCAGCGCTCACTGTGAAATTTAAGGGAGAGGACAAAAGAGAGGTTCAAAAATTTACAGTCTAATCAGTATGTTGGGGGAGTAAACTTTTTCTTTTAAAGTTTTAACAGCAATGGTTTCTGTTTATATTTCTTTCAACAGAACAACCCAAGGGAAAAAGTAAGGAAATGCATGAATATATACATCTTTTCTCTGTACTACTACCATAGGCCTGCTGGCTCATGTGGACTTGCAGTTTTGAATCTCCCTTTTCTAAATTTTATGCATGTAAACTATTTGTTTTTTTTGTCAAGATGAAAGAATACACAACCTGGGAATGGGGTGGGTCAGAGTGAACCAAAACTCATGGTAACTATTCTTAGAGTCCTTTTTCAAACTCATGTAATCATCTAATAATATTATCCACAGCCTCGTAAACTAAACTACAACTGCCTCCATTAACCAAAACTGTATTATGTTGGTGTAAACTTAGTTCCTATAATCTGGTTAGCCTTGCCCTTAAAAAGGACTGAATAAAAATTATTTTAAAGGATAGTTTTACAACTTATTTTCTATTTATTCCCTCTTGTAATACAAAATGGTTTGGCTTGGTCATACCATGATTTTTCCTCCTCCAAGTGCTGCTATGAGCTCTGTGGAATATCATTGCTTGGGATCCATATCTTAGGCAGCATCCACATACAGCTGTTTGCTAACAACTCATTAAAGCCTTGAGGTTGTGTTCTTTGCAAATATATATTCTCTAAAGAAAATAGAATATATTGAACAAGTGGAAACAGAAAACCTTACCTTCAGCATATTCAATTAGCCATTAGAAATCACATTTCGAGGTATGTAGAGCTTTTAAAGATCCCAGTAATATTAAAAACATGTTTTAAAGCATACACCAAGTTTAAAAATATATATATTTATGCATGATTTGCTCCTGCAAAAGGTCAGGACACTGAAAAAGCCTGTCATAAAAATGCTCTAAAATATCCTGTGGAGAGAATCATGATATTATACTACAACTCAGCCAGGGGGAGCAATCTATCTATAAAGAAGGATGTGTTCCTTCAGTCCCAGATTTATGTGTGTGCAAAGCTGCTGATGAGCACTGGCACATGAAGACAGAAACCACTCTATAAACCACTGCACCAACAAGAAAATGAGAAATAACTGGAGATTGAAAAATGGTATAAAATTATGCATATATATATATATATATATATATATATATATATAAATCCTTACTTTATTGCAGTCTATATGATTTAAAAGTACCTGCAGACATGCTATGGCTCCTTGGCAATCTTTAGGGCATTGATGCAGCTAATAAATAGAGAAGATCTCTTAGAAGTTCATTTACATCTCAACTGCTTTCCTCTTTGGAAAGATTTGTGGATTTTGACTTGCGCAGTAATAGGGAGAAGAAAATATCTGTCCTCTAAACAACTATTAATATTTTTTCAAACTAACACATTTGTTCTGATTTATTATCAAAACATGTTTTTATTATTGTTATTGATGCATCTTTGGATTTACTTGGTTTAGCTTTTTTGTCTTTAAGATTGATTCATTTACTACATCATCAACCCTATATTCTTATTTTGCTCCTACTTTTCTAGTTTACACAAAGTAAAAGGCTATACTTTTTTCTTACTTTAAAAATAAATGATGTCCTGGTAGGGAAACAGGGTGAAGAGTACACGAGAACTTTCTGTACATATTTTGTAAATTCTTGTGATATAATTTTTCTGAAAAACCAAAAGTAAAAAAAAAAACTAAAAAAAAATTATTCGTATGCATGATTTTGAAGATCCTGAGAAAATAATGGTTAAATACGTTTATATTTATCAAGGGTAATTGAATAACTACTTTTTGAATTATTCCACATAATAAATGCTCTCAATAATCTTTTCTTGTATATTGTTCCAAATCAGCACAGTATTTATCTTGTTTAATATTACTGACAGGCCCTTTGAAATCTCACATTTACATGGTATTTAATATTGATGCAACTCAAATCTCCTTCAGGTATTTTTTTTTCATTGCTTTAGAGTTCTTTCAAATATTTTCTAATTGATGTTTTACATCAGCCATAAATTAAGCTATACATGTAATCACTTCATATTTTTCAGACAACCTTTAGTAATGTTATTTTGTTTAATTTTGATAAGTCTCCTAAACTTCTTCCTTTGACTTGTAACACTTGATCCAGCCGCTTGTTTTGTTTTCCTGCTTGCATGCTGTCTTGGGAGTGAATAAATCCGTCGTTATACCTTCATAACTACAAGCCTGATAAAATTGTACACTTGAGAGATTGATGAGATGAACAGAAAAGATTTGATGACACCTTATGTTTCTAAAATATAGTCCTTAGAATTATTTCAGCATAGACATCTAGTCTCCAAAATGTATTTATTAAACAAAACTCGAAGACATCTCTCCATTCTTTAAAAAATAAATCAATCAATGTTATGTTGAAGCACTTCTTGAAAATTCTTTTTTAAATTAATTCTACAGGTGTGTCAAGACAAAATAAATAAGAATACCCCACATTCTTTATAAAATTAGTACTTGTTCTTTATATAAAATGTGTGTTTATTATAATATAAATGTCAGGTTCTTCTTGAGGCAATAATGTTGTTTTGTCTTGTGCAATATTGACAAAAGTGGGTTCTTATATAGAAAGAAACACTGTCTAAAAAAAACTTTATAAGAGACATTTGTCCTATAAACACATGAATGTGTTTTGCTTTGCTCTTGTCCTATAAACACATAAATGCATTTTGCTTTGCTCTGAAAATTCTTAGTCTGTTTTACGGCTCTAAACCTGCCTCAGCAAAGCCTTTGTCTCAGCAAAACAAGTATCTCTTCAATATAAGAAGATAACACCTTAGAAGAAAAGTCCATATGAAATCTGTCCAAATGCATCTGAGAATTATTTTAGACCAGCTACAATAATGATCCTTTCTGCTTACCTTGACCCCAGTTATTTTATGTTGATATAATAGCAAATTTAATGTTTTCCATCTTTTATAAAACATATTTTCTTTTTCTGGTTTATTATCCATGTAAAATTTTAATTCCTCTAACATTCAGAATATTTTCATGCTGCTTTGTGAGGTAACTCTGTGAAGGGAGATAGAAGGAAAGACTTGTTCTAAATATGCAATATTAGTCTTATTGCCGCAATTATTATTACTTACTGCAATCCTGCATTAGCACATACATATTTCTTTGTGTTAATACAATTAAGTGGTGACACACAAAACTGGAATAATAGTAATAACAATAGTAATATGTTTCAGAACAGGAAAAGAAAGAAAAACATGCAGAACCAGGTAACTGCTTTCAAATGTCTCTATCTTCTTAATTTTAAGATATTATTTAACTTGCATTTGCATAGTGAATTGTGATCCAACAGCATGAAAAACAAGCTGACTTGTTTTTCTTTTCTTGCTTGATACAGCAAAGTCACCAAAGAAGGAACATTCAGGTGAGTCGGTCCAGCGTGGCTGGGTTCCTCTACCTGATGTCCAGCAGGCAGTGAGGGCCATGACGGAAAAGGCAGGAAGTGCTTCTCTCTCACAGTCTGTTGTCCAACTTCTTCACATAGAGTTAACACTAAAAAAGTTTTAGAAAATGAAAGGGAAATAATATGTTACACTCTTGCTACTCAGTGTGCTCTGTGAACCAATCAAAATCACCTAGAAGCAAAGCAGATTCTGGCCCCGCTCCAGGCTTCATGAATCAGAATCTTCCACTTCCTGAGACCCTCAATGGATTCATCTATGCAGTGTTCGAGAAGCACTGTTTTACAGTTTAGTGTAAAAAAAAATTTAAAATGAAAACAAAACACTTTCTGCAAATACATCTGATAGTGCTTTGCTTTTAAAATATGAATATTCAATTCCAGCAAATTCTCTCTCTATTCCAGATGTTACTTAATGACGTTGCTATGTACTCAGGGGAGTTGCAATGAGAGCACAGTAGGTTTTCCCCTACAGTCCAATAGTGAAAAAATTGAACTGGAAATCAGACAACCAGAAAAATAAACATAAAAACAAACAAAAACTAAAAATGCAGTTAGTATAGATATAAAAAGGTTTTCTAAAAGTTTTCCAACATTGAACTTTCCCTATTAGTTGTTTCAAATAAACGTAAACGCAAATTTTTGAAAAATTTATTGACCACATTTAAAAATATAACATGTTTATTTTGTCTGGTAAAATTTTACTCAACAATTTCACTGATGTTTCTTGTGTGTGTGTGTAGAGGTGGTCATAGCCTAATATAATTTCCATTAGTCACTCCTGCTATTTTATTGTATTTAAATAAAAATAGCATTTACTCAATATTATGTAAATAACCACACAAATATAGCTCAACTATAATTTTACCCATGCCACAGGTTTCAAATTACATTTCTTATTCTTCTTCCATGTTTGTAAAACTTCCTCAGACATCCTAGATCCATATAGTTGTCTCCCTAAGTCAGCGGTCCTCAACCTGTGGGTCGCGACCCCTTTGGGGTCAATCGATCCTTTCACAGGGGTCGCCTAAGACCATCGGAAAACACATATTTCCGAGACTCCAATCTTCTATCCGTCTCCAGGCGGGTCCGCCCACAGGCAGTTGCGCCCATATACAACATGAGAAACTGTATTAAAGGGTCACGGCATTAGGAAGGTTGAGAACAACTGCAAATAGTTCTCATAGTATCATTTTCTTTCTTTTATGAAAATACTTAATATACTTTTATAATTATAGTACCTTTTTTCACTTTAAATAGCCATAATGTAGAGACGAAGGATTGATTTTTATATCTTAATTCCAAGAGTGCTTATTATGAAGTCAGGCATAGAGTAGGCACTTGATAATGGTAGATTGAGCTGTTCACCATTCCACTCACTCTATCAGTCAAAGTTCCTTTGAGAAGAGAAATCTCAAATGGGTTACTTACATTTATTTAAAGCATTTAAATATGAATGACTTTCAAATAATTTACAGTATGAAATAATTGCACATTTAACCACTTCACATTAGCATTGGTATTATCCTTTCAGAAGAAATATTTTTATTTATCTCACAGAAAACAGACTATTTATTCAGGGGTAACATTCCCTCAAACGGGCCATAACACATAATCTTACTCATGCACATATGCAGAAAGCTAAAATAAAGCATACAACATAGAAACATAGAGAAGCAACAGAATGACTACAGGTGAATCCATTTCAAGAATTTTTAAAGTTAAATATTATTATCTAGTATGAGTTATCTATTCATTCTAGGGTTTCATGATACTATAGCAGCTTAGCAATAATTAGCTTTATTTTAAAAATTGAAACCATTGGATAATTTATCAATTCACATCATTTTTTTCTTACCATTTTATAGACTTTAAGGAAAATGAATTGGCTTGTATGTAAAAACAATTAGATGCTTAAATATTTTAGAATGGATAACAAAATGAGTCAGTTGTGAATGAACATCTATGTTGAAAGAAGGTATATGAATATGAAAAAATGTGGTTCAAGGCATATATTTAAAGTAGATCAAAGAAAATGGCACAGTGTTGCATTTTCTCTTCCTCAGATCTATTTTTTATTGGTTTCAAAAGTTATAATACAGTTATTTAAAAAATGAAAATAACCTTAAAACTATGTTAGAGAGAGACAAGTGGATGTGTAATTAATTTAAACTTGATTATTTCTTGTTCTTAATAGTTCTAAGTGAAAAAGAAATAAAAGCAAAATCTGTTGAATAAAACTTTTTTTAAAAAAGCATATTCTAGCAGATTCTCACTTAAGTTTTCTGTTATAGAAAATGCTAATGGTGATTTTTAAATCTGGCTTACCAAATAATTTTTGCTATGATTATTTAATTTGTTGAAATAACAAGCATAATTATTTAGCTTTGCATTTTCTGTAAATTCATTCTTATTAAAATTTATCTGTAGATTTTTTATTTGTAAATGTTAATTTATTCAGATTATAACCCCTCCTTGAGTTGTTTGTATTTTTTTTCCATTCTTCAGAATGTTAATTTTTTCAATCTCATAAACACATTAGACTAAATTTTTCTGATGATTAATTACTTTATCAAACAAGTAGGAAATATAATTTGTCGATCAGTGAAGTCATTTTGTCTTTAATAAAATGAATCCCCCCCCACATTTTATTAACTGCTACTGTGATAATGTCATAGTTTTCCTTTTAATGTATATATCCTCAGAATTTAAATATTGACTGATAACTATAATATACTATAGTGTTTGCTTCAGTAGTAGTTTTGACAATACCCTTAGGAAGAAATGATGATTACTTTGTCAGTATTTCTTAATTCAATAAAGTATCTAACAGATTGTCATTAATAAAAATTATTTTGGCATAATTGCATGTATTTGATTTTAGAAAAAATATACTTTTAGTTTCTCTAAGCATTTTATATAGAATTTATGGTTAATCCTCTGTTGTATGGCTAATGCAATATGTTTATATTTTTGGGGGGGGTGGTAGAGATTCTTCAGTATTAAAAGTTCTACTGATACTGGGTTTTTGAGACCATGTATATTATTGGTGAATCTATCAGGGAAAAATTGGAAATATAATATTGAGTAGCTTGTTGGAAATGTCTTTTTAAAATTATAGTTGGAAATGTTCGCATAGACATAATAGACTTTAAAAGAGAGGTTTTACATTAATTTAAAATTCCACTTATATTCCATGAAAAAGTTTAGTTAATACAAATCTTATTGGAACTCTATATTATAAAGGCTTTGATGCTAATACAGAAATGTTTTAAATAGCTGCTATGTACAGTAGGTTGTTTGTATAGTAAGTTAATGCCAAAGGTGAAAATTGCTTATTATTAAAAATACTCTTAAAATTTCTTAAATCACCTATATATTACTGTGCACACAGTTTTACACACATAACCTTAACATTCAGGAAATTGATTTACATGATCTTAAATTATGAGAGCAAATGAAAGAGGGAGGTACATAGTTTAGTGGACATAAATTGTGTATGTGATGTGATTTCATAGTATTGAATTTAAAAAGATGGAGATCGATTGGGTTAGAGCAAGTCCATGGGAAAAGTAAGAGGTAATTTGTCATTAGCACTCACTTAAATAAAATAACTAAAATGTAGATTGAATTTGTGGTGTGAAATTGTTTACCTAAGGAAACCAAAATGACTGTAGGAAAAATACTGGAGCACATAGACAAGCTTGTTATTAATTCAGTTTGGAGGTTCTCGTGGTACCATAAACTTGAAGAAAAAGGAAAACCTTTTCAATTCAATGACATAACACAAAGGAGGGACACACAGTGCTTCTACAAGTACAGTTATGTGTCAGGGATTATACGGTTGCAAGAAGAATGCCTTAGACCAAGCAAGGATGCCAAAGCTAGATTTACACTTTCTGTGAGTCAGCAATAATTCCTTTGGTATAGTACTTACAAACCTGCCTCGGCACACCCAGTGCTCCTCCGTGCAGTCTCCTGTTCCTACTTCTCCCACACTGGGTATCGACATAGGAGTTGACAACATGATTAGTTATTTCCAAGCCAGAAGAGAACTAAACAAGTAGATCTTTAGATTCCAGAGCATTTCAGATCTTCCATACTCTTCTGGGTGAATCTTTAAGAGAGAGTATAGTAGATAATGTTTAACAAATATGTTTGACCACACCTACCTCATTTTTTTTTCAAACAAGACTTTAAGACTATATGGGTACTAGACTTATCAGGGAGATCACTTGGTAAGGTATATAAATGTTGTACACCAGTGACTCATATATTGTATACCATTTATAATTGAAAAATAAATTTATTAAAAAAGAACTTGGAAAACACTGACATACATGACTTCATTCCATATCAGGGACCATGGGACTCTGATCATGTATTTCATATGCATGTTCAACCAGCCAGTGGTCAATTTGAATTTTGAACAAAAAAAGAACCAAGGTAGGAATCAGGATCAAAGTACAGTCATTTTTAATTGTGGGTTAAAATTTGTTTGAAATGGCAACAGTCGGGCATTTTTCATCCCTTAACTTTAACATTGCATTAGACTGTGTGGTATGTTCAGCCATCAGGCCTGAAGATGTTTATTACCTTAACTGCATTTCCATACCTAAACTGACAAATCAGATATCTGTCTCTTGATCTACATGTCAGGATTGTCCAGAAGTCAGTATACAGAGTTTTCAAATAAAGTTCCTTTGAATTTATTCAGTTATGTAACAGAAGAATATTTGGGAACAATTTATATTTGTTAGAAAAGTAAAATATGTTTTTTTTTACTCAAATACTTTGTCATGAAAATTACTTGGGGGAAAGATCTATGGGCATGAACTAGTAGATAGGATATCAGATGGGTGTGTCTAGACCACATATTGCATGACAAATATGACCATGCATCTCAGCCCCTCAGGACAGTCTTGGTTTACTCATATTATTCCCTAATAATTATTAATAATACTTCCTTTTACTTGCTTGGCTTGGATAATAAATTATTCAATTGCTACCCAAATCATTGATAAAGTTCACAAAATGAACTAAAAATAGTACAGATAAAGAATCAGGGTGATGATTTGGGGAGGTTTCACTACCAGGAAACGTAGAATGTGAGAGGCCTGGTGTTGACTTAGGTTCAGGACAAGCTATAGCTCCTGTTTAGTCCTATGTATACACCCAAAGTCGGCATCCTGGGTGACAGTCCCAGACAGGGAAATATCATGGTTCAGGGCTCAAGAATATTCAAGGCAGTTCAAAGAGATCCAATCCAGATCAATGAGTTCCAGTAACAGTGGAATCTGAATTCAGTTTAGACACGAGGAAGGAGAAGGACAGGATTTTAAATGAGAAATCAAGAATACATTTTAGTATTAGGAAAACATAATAATGAATACAGCAAAATAGCTCTGTCAAGTATGACCACTGAGACCAGTATTATTATGTATCCCAAGTCTTAGTAGTAAAATAGTCTCCAGATAGTTTGTGTTAAAGGGTAGAATAATATTGGTGCAGATCTAAACAAGTTTTCCAATAAGAGAGAAAAAAAGGAGATCCTAAACTGGTCCCACTTGAGCAAAAATATGATAAAAGAATGAGCAGTCATTTCAGACAACTAGAGAATGGATACATTTTTTTTTAAATGCTGTTGATGTAGATGGTATCCATTACCAAAAAAGAAAAAAATGTATCGGTATTTCATACAGTTCCAAAATATCAGTTTTATATGATCAGGACTTACATGGTAAAGACAAAACAATGCATTAATTCAAAGGAAAGTATAGAAAGATATATTTAATATATATTTGAAGGATTGGAGAATTTAAATTATATATGCAAAACAAGTCATAGATAAAAAAGATACAGTTCATTTTATTAAAATAAAAAAACTTTAATCCATAAATACTATAAAGAGATAAAGTTAAACTACAAACTCGGAAAAGATATTTGTAGCATATATAAGTAACGAGAGAGTAATAGCAAAAAAAAAAAAGGCCTTAAAAAAAAAATAAAAAAAAAAAACAAGATAAAGTACTTGATAGAACAATGAGCATATCAACATTATTTATAGTAGCACAAAATTAGATATGACCTAGTACCTATTGTCAGGAGAATAAATATATAATTTGTAGAATGTGTATACAGTGAAATATTATACAAAAGATTAATAAACCAGCTACAGTTACTCATATCAACATGACTTCTGTAAGAAGTTGAAAGTGTGCTTGAGCAAACAACAATTTGAATAAGGCAGCATCAAACCCCAAATATTCTTAGGGACACTCTATTGGTGGGTGTTAGCACAGAGGTTTTTACAGAGAAATGAGGAAGCAAAGCAAACAAATTATTTAAGTGGTTATCACATGAATAGCCTTATTTGGGAACATTAAGTTATTTGGCTGTTGAGATAGCCACTCTTGAGTTTCATTTTCTTTGACGTGAGAAAAATCTAGTTGACTCCGGCTTTGGTTTGTTTACATAGGTTACCAAAGACACTAGAGCGACTCCAGTTGTGCATCTCAACATGATGTTTTGAAAGAAGCAAGTCACAGAAATTAAGCAACAACATGCTTCAATTTATATAAACCTATCTCACTAAATAATATAATTTACTCTATATTAAATGGTCTAACCTTTGTTTAGAGATACATACATGTAATAGAAACTGTTTAGAAAAATAAGAAAATAATTCATACAAAGTTAGGACAATGACAATTCTGAGATGAGAGGACAGGCGTGTAGTTGTAGTTGGACAAGTAAGACGTTTCAAGAATGATAACATCGTATTTCTTACTCCTACGAAGGGTTTCTAATGCGGGCATGTTTTATAGCCATTCATTAAAATGTGCACCAGTGTAAATGCCTTTACACCTTTTATCTGTGTGTCTTTCACAATTAAACAAGTTTCGAAAAGTAGAGGATGAGAAGATAAAAGTGTGACATTGAGTGGATGACAGAGATGAGGTAGTTGGCATCGTGGGGACATAGCAGTGAAGGTTGGGGTTCTCTGAGGTTATAAAGTGTGACATGTGTTTTTAAGCAGATGTGGAAGCATCTTTGAAGTGGAAAACTGATGAGGTAGCAGATAGAATCAATATTTGGAAGAACAAAAGCCTGACTGGGAGAAAGGAGATGGGATGCAGGGCAGCAATGGAAGGGTTGGTATCAAATAGGGGCAGGGACTGGTACTCCTTTGGGACTGGAAAGAAGACAGATGTGCTGGAGATGTGACAAAATGAGTAGACTGATCTGCTTCTGTTTCCCCTATGCATTTCCCAACAGCAGCTTGACTCTCCATTGCAGGGTGTTGGAAGCTTGAGGAGGGAAGAGAATGCTGGTAAACTTTTACCGGTTCATTCTTATTTTTCTTATTTTCCTATGAATGAGAGAAAACTTTAACTTTAATTAGCCTTGATTTGAGGTCCAACATTTTGTAGTAGGACCAGCATTTCAGATTGTGTCTTAAGGGCAGCTTTCCTATCTTCCACACTAGATATTCTGAGAAGCTTTAAGAAGACAAGTTTGGCCTTTTCATTCTATTGTTTTTTCTCTCACAACAATCAATATCAAATAAAACTTTGTGTTATGTTATGCCTAATCTCTTGTAATATACAAGATTGAGGTCCCCATAATTAAAGGCTAAACAAACAAACAAGTCCTTTCAAGTCTTCTTTCCCATAACTCATATTATTTTAGATTTGATTATGAAGTAATAAATTAATATTCCAGTGTATTTTGTGGAATAAGTCACCTCCTTTTATGGTCACTACTTATATAAGTTAAAATTTTAATATCACATTGTGGTATCTTGGAAGACACTTTCTGTATTACTATTTAAAGAAGTTCATTAGTTTATAAAAACACAAACACTTCACCGTTTGACTTTCTCTGCTGCTTGCTTTGCTCTCAGTTGTCACAAACATTTTATCTTTTGGACAGTTTAGTCTTGTCTGACTTTAAATCCTCTATCTAGTTTGTATCTCTGATATTTATTTCTCATTCTTTAATATCTGAATTTGCAGAAACTGATAGAGCCAAAGGTGAGGTTGGTGCTGCCTCCACTAAAAAAGGTAAATGCAACTTAAAGAAAAAGATGTCATGACTAAAACTCATTTCTGCAAAGGTTTCTAACTTAATGTATTGTATAGTGCTTATTGAAGAGCTCTATTTATTGATTTTGCTATTTCTTTGATATAGAAAAAGACTCACTTTGCACAAGATTTATAGTGTCTCTATTAACAAGGCTTTGTCTTCAGTGTTCTAACACCAATAGTTTTATCCTTTAGGGCCATAAACTAAAACTAATCATTGCAGTCCAATTGCAAGTTAGTTTTTGAAAAATTGAGGAAGTGCAGCTGTTCAAGTTCATTGGGATCCCAATCACCTGGAGACCATTAAACTGCAAAATATAGCCTTAGGTAGTTAGAGCTCAAACAAATGAAACTTTGACTAGGAGAACTTACAAGAAAAATGTTCATTTTGTAGAAGAATAATATCGCATTTAAAAATGTGTTTCTTGGGCCCTGACCAGTTTGGCTCAGAGGTTAGAGCATTGGCCCGCAGACTGAAGAGTTACAGGTTTGATTCCCAGTCAAGTGCACATAACTGGTTTGCAGGTTCAATCCCAAGCCCCCTGTTAAGGTTGTGTGGAGGCAACCAATTGATGTTTCTCTCTCACATGGATGTTTCTTTCTCACATGGATGTTTCTCTCTCGCGCTCCCTTCCTCCCTCCCTCCCTCCCACTCCATCTAAAAATCAACATAAAGTATCTTTGGGTGAGGATTAACAAAAAAATAAAATAAATAAAAAATGTGTTCCTCAGAATTTTCACCTGGAAACATTTTACTCTAAGAAACAAATGGGGAAGTTTGGAATTTAAGATTTCAAAGCTATTTTTCTTGTTATGTCTGATCAGAAGCACTACTTATATGAATATTAGAGACATTTTTAAGAATATATTTTTAATTAATTTATTTTTAATTGAAAATGTTTAATGTTGACACTGTTGCAGACTCCCTCATTTCTCCCCCTGTGCCAACCTCCACCTATCTCTGCCTCCCTCTCCCTTGGCCTTCACCAAAGCATTGCCCATGTACATGGGATATACATATATGTTCTTCAACAAACCCCTTCAACTTCTGTATCCTGTCACCCCCACCTCCCTCCCCTCTGCCACCCCCCAGTCTGTTCCATGTACCCATGCTTCTGGTTCTATTTTGTTCATTGTTTTATTTTGTTCATTAGATTCCACCTAATAGTGAGATCATATGGCATTTGTCTTTCTCTGATGGGCTTATTTTACTTAGCATAATATTCTTTAGGTCCACCCATGCCTTCACAAATGGTTAGAGTTCCTTCTATTTTTACAGCCTTATAATACTTCATTGTGTAAATGTACCACAGTTTTTTTTTATTCATTCATTTGCTGATGGGCACTTGGACTGTTTCCAGATCTTGGCTATTGTAAATAACACTGCTATGAGCATAAGGGTGTATATATTCTTTCTGATTGGTGTTTCAGTATCTTTAAGATATAGACCCACAAGTGGGATTACTGGGTCAAAGGGCAGTTCCATTTTTAATTTTTTGAGGAAACTCCATACTGTTTTCTTTTTTTTTTTTTTTTTTTATCCTCACCCGAGGACATTTTTGCATTTATCTTCAGATAGAGCGGGAGGGAGACGGGGGAAGAAGGAAAGAGAGAAACATAGATGTGAGAGAGACACATCGACCAGTTGCCACCCACACGACCCCAACTGGGGCAGGGACAAACTGCAACCAAGGTATGTGCCCTTTGTGGGAACCGACCCAGGACTCTTCAGTCTGCAGGCCGATGCCCTAACCACTGAGTCATACTGGCCAGGGCATCCATACTGTTTTCCACAGTGACTGCACCAGTCTGCATTCCCAGAATATTTTTAAGAACATTAACATACATTAAAAATAATCATTATGATAAAAGTTTTGCATATTCCCAATTAGAAATAAACTGCAAAAATTCTGAAACTTATGACTTTATTTTATAAATAGATAGAAATGAAGGAGTAATGTATCCAATGTCTTTGGAAGTGTCTGAAGAAACAATTTAGCAAACCCTTTCTCAGCCTACACTCACACACACACACACACACACACACACACACACCCCTACAAACCATTACAGTGACAAGGTGGCAGTGGATTTGTTAACTACATAATTATTAGTGATTTCAAAAGAGCCTTTTCAGGGGAGTGGCACAAGTAAAAGCTGAAATACGGCAAACTGATGGAGGAAAGAGGAATTAAAAGATATAAGTAATGATGCTGAAGTTGCTGGGAGCAGAAGGAGAAATCAGAAGGCAGCTTGGTTATCTTTAATCTATGTCCATCTCCTTTTTAATTTTAGAGGTAAAGTCCTTATTCTTCTCTTCAAGACTGGTTTCTGCGGCTGTGTTCTCCTTAATCAGTCTTTTTTTTTTTTTATCATCCTCACCCAAGGACATTTTTCCATTTTTTGTTCAGGTAGAGTGGGAGTGAGAGAGAGGAACGGAGAGAGAGAGAAACATCGACATGAAAGGGAAACATCGAGTGGCCGCTACCCGCACAACCAACCAGGGCCGGGGACAAACTGCAACCGAGGTATGTGCCCTTAGCAGGAACCGAACCCGGGTCTCTCCAGATGCTCTAACCGCTGAGCCAAACTGGCCAGGGCCCTAATCAGTCTTTATTACTGCTTTGTGACAGCATCCGCTTTCGGGTTATTGGCTTTATTCCTCATTCTGGAAATATTATTCTCAGCTTCAAAATTACTTTTTCAGGATTCCTATTATTCTACCATTGTCTCCTCTGCACAGGTTAGTCAGTCTTCTGAGTGCTGATGTGCCAACATCTCTTCTCATTTCCCATGAAGCTGAGGCTCCTGTCCCTACTGAGCCATTGATGCTCTTGGAAAGGCTGATGACATTATCATTACTGAACCAACAAACCATTCTAGTCCTCACATTACTAGATTTCTCAGTTGCATTTATCACTGTCTCTTCGCTCAGTCTCTCCACTTTTGGGTTATCATGCCAACATAGTCTCCTGGTTCTCTCTATATTTTCTGACCTTTCTTTCTGTTTTTGTTTGTTTGGTTTGTTTTGCACCTTAATTATTGATGTTCTAAGATTCCATTAGGAATTCTCCAAATTTCTTATTCTGTAAACTCCCTTTGTGAGCTATGTCCACTCTCAAGACTGAAACTCTGCCCCCAATTCTGTTGTCATTTCATGCTTCATGAAAAGGTTTTCCCAGAAAATGTCACCCTTGTTATGTTCAAATCTCCAATAAACACCTTCAAATTAACCTTTCTTGCACTAAACTTCTCATTTCCTCTTCCCAATTTGAATTTTATTATCACTGGTGAAATCACAATCCACTCTCTACCTCACTGTTAATCTGAGGGTGATTTATTTTTCTCTTTTGCTCCTTCACTTGATAGTCAAAGAATCTTCAAGTCCTTTTGATTTTATCCACTAAATATTTCTTGAATATATTTCCTCCCATTCATGACCATGACTTCCATCTTAACTCAATTCTTCATTATCTTATGTTTAACCTCTATAACAATCTTATCACTGTCCTCATCTTTTTATTTTTACTTCGCTAATATTCATCTTACCAGAACACCTATGGCAGTAAAAGTAAATTTTCAGGCATTTGACTGAATAAACCACTCTTAATTTAAAGCTCTCTTTTCCCAGTCGCCATCCCTAAAATTAAGTCCAAGCTTGTTAAAATGATGTAGGGTCTCCCAAGATCTGGTTCTTGTAATCCTTTCAAACTTCCTTGTTTCATATGGTATAATAACACCATATTCTTTAAAATTTAAAATACCCTAGAACTAAGATTCAGGGAAGATGGTAGCAGAAAGGGGTAGTCCTGTGAATATATAAAGTGGTTAGCATCATCTGAGAAGTGATGAGAAACCGCTCTTTCCTATCTCCTTAACCTGTAACCAAGGACCTAGTAGATTTAAGATTTTTTTGCCTACAGTTAGCAATTTATTGCATTGTTTCAATCATCGACATCTCTAAGCAATATACCTTGTGTAGGTAACATCACATTCCTTAAAAATAACAGTTTGTCCTGCGAAGGCATTAGGTCCACATCCCATAAGTAGTGTATGTATCATATAGGCAACATTTTAAACTGCACAATGTTTCCTTACCACTCCTCTCTTCTTTGCTCAGATCCTGATGTATCCCACCTTCAGGTAAACCTCACTACCCAGGCACAAGTCCCTACTGCTCTTTGGCATACATGAATGGTGTTGAGGGGCAAGAAAGGAGAGATAGAATATGGGTCCCTAAGGAAAATCGAAGGGGAAAATCATGAAATTAAAGCCTGTATCTAGAATAAGCCAACTTCACAGTTGAGCTCAGGACTATGCCTAATCTAGGTATTGCATTGGAAGAATGCTAGCTACTTTGTTTCTTCCTATTAGTTGGGTTTCCTGAAGGAGTACAACATATACCTACTTTGCTTATTTTCTTAAAGTAAACTCTCCAAATGTAGAGCGAAGAAAATTTCTTCTCTCAGCACCAAAGGAGGTTTTAGGGACTCTGTGGTATTGAAAGAAAAACTGATTAAGTTCTTCTTTAGATTCCAAGCAGTTAGAAAATCTACTTAGATGATCTGTTTATTCCTAATGTTTAGTCTTCATAGAGTTGGGCTTGATGAATTTTACATCAGAATCAGAAATGAAAGGATCATTATTCTTTTTTCCAAAATGTCTTCTTTTCTGTGTAAATACTTGGCATTTTCAGTGACCTTTCCTGAGTAACAAAAAACAGCACTTTAGGCGACTAGCCTCTTCTACTTAATATGAGTGCAAGAAATTATGAACCTCTCATTAAATAGAAAACCTTGGTGTTTATGCATAAGTTACATTCAGTCATTTTTCTGAAAGACATTTACTCTTTAAAGGATTTAAATAAAACAACTCAAAAATGCATGTTTTCTGCACAATACTTGTAATAAGTTTTATAAATAAAAGAATTATGAATAAAACTATATACTCAAGATCTATTATAATTACAAATATTCAATGTTTTATTTCCATGTTGATTTAAGAGAGAGCATTAGCAGAAGAGATTAATATACCACATAACCTACTAGCTCCTTAAAGAAATTGGTTCCAAAATTGGCCAATTGGCCTTTTGCAATGGTCCCATTTTCTATTTTTAGATTATTTCATTTATTTTCTATGAGAACCCTCTGCTTCAGCTGAACTGATATACTTTCCTCTAGGTACAACTAAGGCTTTTCTGCTTCTTTGCCTCTTTCATATCTTATTGGTTACAACTGAAATCTCTACTCTTTCAAGAAAGCCACTGACACCAATAGCCAAGTTATGAAAGCAACCCCAGTGCCCATGAATAGACAAGTGGATAAAAAGGTTGTGGTACATGTATACAATAAAATGTTACTTGCCCACAAATAAATGAAATATTACTATTTTGCTACAGTATGGATGAACCTAGAGAGTATTGTGCTAATTGAAATAAGTCAGACACAGAGAGACAAATACCACATGATTTCACTTATATCCAGAATCTAAAGAACAATAAATTTTTTAAAATGCAAACTATAAAACTCAAAGTAGGAGGAAGATGAATATAAAATGTAAGAGCAAAAGCTAATTAAACAGAAATTAAATTGTACAACAAAGAAAGCAATAATAAAAATTAGGTTCTCTATAAAAACTAATAAAATTGATAGGTTCTTATGAAAATATTAAGAAAACTAGGGAGGCCTGGCTGTTGTGGCTCAGTCACTGAACGTCCACCCCGAGTAGCAAGAGGTAGCTGGTTCGATTCCCAGCTAGGATACGTGCCAAGGTTCTGGGCCCAATCCCTAGTGGCGGGGGTTGCGGGGGGGGACATGGAGGAAGTAGCCAATAGGTGTTCTCTCTCAATGATGTTTCTCTTTCTCTCTCTCTCTCTCTTCCTCTCTCTCTAAAATCAATAAAGAAAAAGTTATAAATAAAAAGAAAAATAGGGAGAACGTGCAAAATATCAATATCAGAAAATGAAAGGGGCATAATTGCAGACCTTACAGATAATAAACAATAGAAACATTTTCTAATAAATTTGAAAATTTTAATCAAATTGATATTTTGAATCAATAATTATAATTCTTCCTCAAAGAACATTCTAGCCAGATGGCTTCAGTGGTGAATTCTTTTAAACATTTAAGGAAAAGTTAGCAATCTGCGTCAAACCTTCCATATATAGAAAATGAGAAACATTTACTCATTTTAACCTTAATATCAAAACCTAACAGGAGCCCTGGCCTGTTTGGCTCAGTGGTTAGAGCGTCAGCCTGCGGACCAAAGAGTCCTGGGTCAGTCCCTGCTAAGGGCACATACCTCAGTTGCAGTTTGTCCCCAGCCCTAGTTGGGGTTGTGTGGGTGGCAACTAGTCGATGTGTCTCTCTCACATCGATGTCTCTCTCTCTCTCTTCCCCCTTCTCTCCCTCCCGCTCTGTCTGAAGATAAATGCAAGAAAATATCCTTGGGTGAGAATAAAAAGAAAAAGACCTAACAAGAGCTGAAAAAGAAAGAAAATATAAAGGTTAACTTCTCTTGTGAACATGAAGGCATAGACCTGAGCAGATCAAGTCTAATAATCTATCTGAAAGATAAAATGCAACTAAGTTGATTTTATTTCAGGAACTAAATTAAAAAAAAAAAAAGTTATCTATGTAATTAACCAGAACAATAGAATAACAGGAATAAATAAATGCATTATAGTAGATGCATTTGATATAATTCCTCACTAGAGTAGAAAGAAGCTTTCTTAATCTGTTAAATTGTATAAAAAGCCATTAACCAATACCATAGTCAATGGAGAAAAACAGAAAGATTTTCTCCTTAGAATTAGAACAAGAAAGATGTACGCTGTCACCACCTATTACATATTGTACTGGCCATCACAGCAGTGCAGTAAGGTGAGAAGAAGAAATAATAGGTACAAGAATAGAAAAGTAAGAATAAAACTCATTACTCACAGATGAAATTATCTACTTGAAAAATTCAAAAGAATGTACATATGAACTATTATAACTAATGAGTGAATTTAACAAGTTTTCTGTAAAAAAAAGTTAATTCTCTTTCTCTCTCTGGCTCTTCACATTAACTTTTTGAAAAGATCATGGCCACTTACACTGTAGACATTTTTCATTGTTCTGATTGTTTCTTCAGAATACTATTTGATATGCTATCTATATCCTGTATTTGACTGAGAAAGCTAAGTTGTTTGTTTAACTGGATTTCAGTTGTTTGGTCAAGAATATTTCAGAGGTTATACTATATACATAACAGTTCATGTCATTAGGAAGCACAGAATGTCTGGGTGTCGTATTATGAATGAATGGTTCCAAGTTTCATCACTGGATTAGGTTGGTTACAACCACATTTCTTCATTTCAAAGTTACATTCCACCCCCACCACCTCTTCCATACCCCACCCTTGCAACTCTGTGTGATGATACTTGGCTATAATGACAATATTCAGTTTCCCACTCATCTTTCATCTAAAAGTTGTTAGTATCCTCTGAAGATCTTTACTTGAATCAATTATTTCAGTGGGTACACTGATTTTATGTGAATATATTTTTACCATTTTCATGTATAAATACATAAGCTGTGAATACAGCACTGAGACCAATAAGTGTCAGAAGCAGCATATTTCAGAAGAAACAACACCTAAATGATAATCTTACTTCTCTTTTGGTTACTTGTGATTTGGGTGACTTCATTTAATATTTAAATAAATCTCAAGTATGACTACACTGTCTTTTCAATTGATTAAGCTATATTAAGCTTAAATTTAAGGAAACATCTAGTTGACGTTTTCAAGATACTAAATGACTCCAGCAATAACCTGAAATGTAAGTCGATTAATCATTATCCTGTCAAGCGGAATTCTTTGAAGAGCATGCTTATCAAAACAATATAAAAGAATAAAGTAGAAAATAATGTGGAAAAACTAGTCAGAAAAAGACAAATATTTTTTTTTCTCTGATTCTATAAGATTAGATTTAACATGGGTTTCAATTAGATTACTGAGAAATAAGAAATGTTGAAAAATAGCTTGTTTAGAAGAAATATTTGGCACTGAATAGGTTAAAATGCTTTTTGGGGGGAGCAGAAGCAGCATTTATATCAGGAACTTTTATTTAAACCTTATCTCTGTTTTGCAGCTGTACCTGGAAAGAAGGAAGAGAAAACAACCAAGACAGTGGAGCAAGGTAAAAAAAAATGAAGGAGGTTGACACTCTCTTCCTTAGAAAGACAACAACATGAGGAGGAAAGCACTGGATTCAGACAGGCGGAAGACAGTAATCCTTGAATCTATTGCTCTCCATCACTGTCCTCGCATGTTGTTTTGTGCCAGGGAGAATGTGAGGCAGCAATCGGGTTTTGTTCTTTTGTATAACTAAACTTGGAATATAAGTTTAGATCAAGAAAACTCCATAGACTGCTTAATTGCATCAGGAAAAATGCTGAAGACTGTTGGGAATAAGGCAGTGATCCTCCAGGGCAACTGGTAGACATTTTTCAGTTTGATTTGTGGTTTTAACAACACCTGACCAGAAAAATAGTTTAAAAGATAAAGATGAAACAATTCCATTTATGCAAAAACAGTTTCTTTGCTTAAAAACATTATGTGTAAAAGTTAAAACAAAGAAAAAAACAACAAAAGTAAGTTATTTGAGTTTCTATTATGACTTCAGCAATTGATTCTCCCAGAGTCTGAAATTTTAATTTTATATATCATAATGCATTTTTATTTTTATTTATGCTTCTATATAATACATATACCACTCCAGAATATGCTTGAGAAAAAAATGCTACAGCACAGTAGTTGAAACATTTAAAATGATGTTAGTTCTTCTGTTAGAGTTCACAGTGCTAAAAATTTTAATTGTGCCCTCCACTCTTTGGCATTTCATATATTATAATACCACAATATTTATTATTTACTATAATAAATAAAATCAGAACTAGAAATAATTTTGTCAAGAATAAAGAAAAAATAATTTCTCTTAAATTTTAGATGCCATAAAATTTCTAATATCAGAAATTTAGAATTTTATATATAAATATATTTAAATATCCATCAATTCCTCACATTTTAAATGAGTAAAGTAAGGTTAAGGATTCAGGTAAACTAAGGTTAAGGATTCAGTTAAGACAATTAGTCAAGGATTTATTTCTTTGGGCTTTTCTAAATAAAATCACATTATAATTACACTGGAAAAGTTTTCAAACACATTTTGGCTCCTGGGAACTGTCTGGAATGTTAGATTGCAGTAGAATGTTTCTGTCAAGTTCTTTTAGAAGTGGGTGTTTTAGTCTCTGCAATATAAAGTAGGTGTAATGACTCCTAATTCAACTTGTTCACTTAGGCAAGGTTCTGGGCTTAAATTTCCTCTTTAAAAATGAAGTTGATTCTATATGGCCTACTTATCTGATAAAAAGTAGAACCCAAACAATAAAGCATATGTAAAAGGGTATGAAAAGTTATAATTTCCTAGATAAACATACAATATTTACTTAAGCATCTTTTTCTTGAAAAATCAGCTTTAATATACGTGAGATCAACTCTCAAATTGCTATCATTCATCTTCATACATTTCTCCTATGTAGTGTAAAGGTATTGATTATTCATCTTTTATGGCTTTTATAGATTTCTTTCATAGCCATAGCATATTAGGAGAAGATTGATTAGAATATAAAGTGGCTACACTAATAATAGTATCTAAAAGATTACTGATTTAGGTGGAGAATATTTCTCCTTGCCTTCAAGTTATTGTCAGTTTCATTAATTCTATCATTTCCTCGAGTTGATAGGAGACTGGAAATGGCTATTAGAGATGGGAACATACTTCTTCCTATGATTTTGTAATTAATAATTTTAAATAACGATACCTTTTATCTTATGAAGACCTTAAGCTCTTGGCTTATGTAAAAAAATCTAAGAAGTTATTTTCATGGCTTTTTTATATCGACTTAGTAAATCATTTTGGTTTTAAATATTGTAAAACAAAGGTCTCATATTTTTCAACTATAAAAATCATAAGAAGTAGAGTATTTTCATAATTTGCATACTTTGTGATGACATATCTATGACTAACGATTGATATGAAAATATATATTTTGTGGTTTTAATAAAGGAGAGAATTTATATGAGATAAATCAATGACATCCTATAGATTTCATTATAGTATTCGAATACTTATTTATAAGATGATGCTTTCAGACTGTCATGTACTTTCTTCCTTATGTAGTTTTCAGCTATCTTCCTAAACGTGCATAATCTCAAACTAGTTCAGAATGCATTGTAGTACTATTAAATACTTTATAAAGAGTTATTTCCATTCATTTAAGTTTGAATTTATGGACTTGTACAAAGGAAAAAACTTTATGATTTTCATAATACTTTATGGATGTCAAATATGCTTCGGAATCTATGTAAAATTGTGTATATTAAACTAATGGACTTAGTCTGAACTATGATTGGAAAACTTGGGAAATACTGATCAAACTAAACTTTATAGGAAATTTAGATAAAGGTGAAACAAACTTTATGTTAGTGTACTTAGTAAGCTAGACATTATATCATATAAGATGTAGAAATTTGATTAATCTAGCTTCTGAAAAATTCTAAACCTATAACTACCTGTAACTCATGGTAAATCATGTTTTTAGTTATTCTTCTCATAAAGATCATACATTGACTAGAATAGAATTTTGAGTATTAAGAGACTCTATAAATTCCTTCACCTTAAAGGTGTATGTATGTGTATGCACACATACATAGTCACACACACACACACACACACCATTAACTATTTCCTCTTGTTTAGAAAGCATCAGGAGAATCAAATATTTTCCGCAATAAATATTACTCTGCACACTGTGAGACCTGAGGACTGCCAAAGATAACACATTTGAACACGTGTTACCATATGAAGATTCATCTTTATATATTTGTATGTTATATCTAGAAAGTGCATCACCTTTCATTAAGCTTACTTTATTCATTTGTTTATATTTAATTTCTCATATTGAGTGCACATTTCCCTCCTTGATAGTTCTTTTAAAAATTGACCTGCCCTCACTTTTTCAGTGTCACTTTTTTTCGGGAAAAAATCTTTAATAATATTCTCTAGTTATTAGCCAGAGAAGCAAAATAGTTACTCTAAGGAAGCATCCAGTGGCTTGCTACTTACTGGGGCAAGAAAGAAGACCAGCCCAGAATCTCCTTGTTTTTAATATTTTTCCTTCAAAGTGACTTAAGTTCAACAGTGAAAAGGTGAAGTAAATAGTAATAAATTAAATCACTCGCAAATCATCTTTCCTTTTCTTTCATTCGTACCTGTGTATGACATCACTTAAGTTCTTCTTTGAGAGTCTATTCCAAGAGCGTATAACAATGCTGGCATTTGGTATATGTTTAATTAATATTTGTGGGGTGAATGAAAACATAGGGGAATTGTTGAAGAAAGGATTTTTAGGTGATCCAGACTTCAGTGAACTGTGCCTCTGTAAATACTGAGCAATTAAGAGAATATTTTAGTAAATCTAAATGTGATTTCCAATAGTGAAGGTTGCCAAATATTTCAGAAACCAGAAGATAAATGATTAAATCCTTCAACTACTCCCATCTGACAGTGGAAATAGTAGAGAAAAAGTAATAAATATGCATTATTAATTAATTAATTACATTATTAATGATACGATCTTTGTAGATAGTGCTGTTATGTAAACAAGACTGCATGTGCAGTCATCATCTGGTTAAAGATATTGGAAATATTAAATTTTAGCAATTGAAACTATTATATTATTAACTATTTTTTAAAATTTAAAGTGGAAGAGAAAATAAAACAATTGGCCAATGAGGACAATGTATGAAATATAGAAACATTAAGCCTTGTCCTTGATTTTCTAATTTCTACAATTAAGAAGCTGAAATAGATTATCTCTTACTCCCTCCAAATACCAACATTGTCTATTCAGCAAAGTTTTAAAGTAGTATGTTTCTTATATCAGAATATAGAAGCTATTGCTTCTTTAAGGCTGGTCTAGAAAGATTTTCATTTCTAAGATGCTAGGGAAAACTACCTTTTCTTATCTTGATTCTTTATTGTCCTAAAACTAAACAGAAAGTTTCATTACAAAAATATTTAGTGTTCTATCCTCTTAATTAAAAAGCTCCTCAAATCCAATTAAGTAGAAACATATTTAAAATATATATGAAAAAATATTAAATAGAATTGAGTGCTTATTAACCCCACCTCAAAACAAATTTGAACAAATTAGTAATCATTTTATAAACAGTAAAATTGGAGAATGTGGATCATAAATGTGCAGTTTATTTCCTGTAATAAAAACATCGATTTTACCTCAAATTAAGAAATGTTTCTAAATTCATAAATTTGCTAATTTGTGTCCACCTGAAAAGTTTCTGTCTTCCTTGCCTCTGATGCTATTTTGTAAACAATGGTACCCTATACAATTGTATTGGTTCTCAATTGTCACAGGAGCAGATGAAACTCAAAAGCTATTATATGATTTGTAAACTTGTTCTTATCCACCTTTTCGTATTCTTTTATTCTCTGTATCTGCATTGGTCTATGTAGAATCTGTGATGTGTACCTATTGTAGTTTTAGTTCGTACTTTCAAGTGAATGTTAATAATATGCAAGAGTAATGATTTCCCTGAGAGAAACTCATTTATTTAAATGATGAATGTTTATATTTCATGGTGTGTCAACATTATTTTAAAAAGAAAAACAATTTTACAATTAAGATCAGTGGAGTAAAACTGAATGTTCAGTTAATTCATATTGTATTAAATTATTTGCTTCATATGTGATTATAAAATAACCTATTTGCACATGTGGACTAGGTCATGCTGTTGACTCTCAATAAATGTTAAATGATAATAACAATTTACTATCGATTCTTGTGAATTCCAAACTTCTTAACAATAGTTTGTACTTTAGTTGTTTAATATTTATTGAGCGCCCACAACAGGCTAGGCGCTGGGAAATGGGTGTGAAGAACACGGAGTGGGCTTCAGAAAGAAGATTGGTCTACATATGGGGCCCATGCAATACATGTAAAAATGAGTGTACTCTGCTTATTTATATATTTTATACAATTCAAGAGAACCTTAACAGTTCTCCATTGTCTCGCTTGCTCACATAACACTTTTCACT